TCTCTCTCTCTCTCTCTCCATTAGTTTTCACTTGAAATTGAATGCCAATAATAATTACATTTTGATATTTTTACTCCAAAAAACACATCAAAACATACATTTTATTTATATTACAATTCAATGAATTCAATGTCAAGAATATATTTGAATTGATTTCTCGACTGTATTTAAATCTGTAATTATTTTTTGCTTTATTTTTGTCATTATTTCAGGAAAAATACTTAATTAATAAATTTTTGTGGTGTATATAATAAAACACTAATTATTGCCAATTATTGTTGGTGTAACCATGGTGCAATCATTTAGTATATCTAATGGAAAAATTTTCTAGTTGTTAAAAACTTGGTTAATGTATAATCAATAATATAACTAACTTTACTCTATGTTATTTTCGCACTATAATTAATTATATAAATTATTCGCATTTAATTAATTATATTAAAACTTTTGTCCATAAAATAGAAAGTTTATTTTAAACAAGAATATTCTAATAATATTTATATTTTAATTAAAAATGTAAATTAAATATAAAATATTTTTGACGCAATCCTCACGTCATTAGGCTTTCAATTGACTTTAACCGACAAACCAGTGATAGATTTGAGGCTTCAATTTAATTTCATCATGATTGACAATCACTAATCAATTATCTCACGCATAATTTACTCACAAAATAATGTTTAAATACATAATTAATGCAGATATCAGCAAGATTATCACGTGGAAACTTTCCTATTTAAAACATAATTAATGCAAAACACATTAATCTCTGTTATAATCCTATCCAACAAATCACTCACTTGTCTAATAAGTGACATATAATTTTGGTTAAAAACACACTTTTAGTTAACTAATGCACTGAAAATGTTTAAATAATTTTGTTGCCTAATGTCTGACAAAATAATTAATCAAATAAACATATGTTGATATGCATGTGTTAATAGATATTGGTGATTTTCCATTTATTTTTAGACTGTGATCATTGCATTACCTCAAGTAGAATTAATATTTTTATTAACAAATAATTTATTTGAAATAAACATAAATATTTAATTAAAAATTACTTAAAATTCCGAAAACATAATTAATGGTTAAGTTTTATTGATTGATTTGTTACAACATTTGTTTCACATTATGGTAATCATAGTCTTGTGATGGTTCAGCCAAAAATAAATTGTAATGTAAATGAGTTATAAAATATGTAATGATAAATATATTTACTCTTGGATAACATTGCTTAATTAAATAGCTGTCAGTGTTATTGTTAATTATTTTTATGCTAATTATGGTGAAAATAACAAAAAAAAAACTCTCATTAAAAATTAAAAAGATTAATAATAATAATAATATTAATTCTGAAACATAAAAAAGTTTTAATTAATTAATTAATTGTTAACATATTTTCATTTAAATCCCCAAAACTAATAGCTCGGAGAACCTAAAGGTATACAACATAACGTCAAGCAATATAAACCCGATAACGTGGGGACAACTGTTTGAATACGGCTATGAGGGCGCACAGGAGGCGCCGTCCATACGATCCCCAAAACTAATAGCTCGGAGAACCTAAAGGTATACAACATAACGTCAAGCAATATAAACCCGATAACGTGGGGACAACTGTTTGAATACGGCTATGAGGGCGCACAGGAGGCGCCGTCCATACGCGCGGTGCGGCCCATAATAAAGCCGCCCAAACAGTCGGGTCCGCATCCGGTGATCAATCCGTTGAAAATATTTTTCTCCCACTGGATGTTTGCCTACTTTCTCGATTTAATCATTATGATTACTGGCAACAGAAGGATGTATGACATTTTCATTTCATTTTTTAATCCACTCTTGCACAATTTTTCTATTTTTCTATTATGCTAGTAATTGCTTTAGAGTCTAAAGTTTAGACATTTATACACTATGGCTCAAAGGTGTTTGGTATACAATTATAGAGCTTTATATTATTTCCCAATTCTTGTTGTCATATCTATTTAATGTTGTCACTCACTTACTTCCACTTTCTAATGCATGCATATTATTTATTAAACTGTCTAAATAAGTTTTACCACCAAAATCAATTTTAAAACAATTAAACTGTAGGGCAAAACACCTTTTTACCATCTAACCTTTTTAGAGTCAATTCTAAACTTTTCAATACATAATAAATAAACACACACAATTAAATTGTTTGCAGTATAATATAATTATCACGTTTTGTTAACAGTATGGTACGCATAACGAGCAAGATGCACTACGCGCTGGACGTGATGAACTACTTCACCCAGCACCAATGGGCGTTCAAATCTAGCAACATGCTACAATTGTACGGATCGATGTCGGTGGAAGAGCAAGGCATGTTCAACTTTAACATGTCGGACATTGATTGGCCACAATTCGCCAAAGACTGTCATTACGGCAATCGGCGCCACCTGT